CTCTCCTCCTCCTCCTCTTCCTCCTCCTCCTTCTTCTTCTGACAAATGTCTATATATTTCATTTGTCCATATTTGATTGGAAATTTTATTTAGGGGATGTGATGCTGTATTTTTCATCCTCTACGTATTATAGATACCTCTGTCTGAGAAGTAGTTGGCAATTTTTTTTTCATCTTCTATAGATTGTCTCTTCACTTTGTTCATTGGTTCCTTTGTATGGCAGAAGATTTTAGTTTGATTTAATCCCTTTTGTGGATCCATAATTTTGTTTCTTGGGCCATTAGGGTTCTGTTCAAAAAATCCTTGCATATGACAATGTCCACAAGATCTCTTTTTTATTAGTACATGCTTGAGTAATGAAGTTTACCTTCCCCTTGAGGCGTGTGTGTACAGAACACATCTTGTTCCTTTTTATACTCCCCTTCTCCTTCCCACTCATCTCCCTCTGCCCTCCCTAAATCTCTTTTTCCTGTTGTTGTTGTTGTTGTTGTCATTCTTAGCTCACACGTACAGCACATACTGTTTGCATTCGTTGTGTGTATTCGTTGATATATTGTTTCTCCCCTTCTCTCCTTTTCTTCCCTCTCAGTCTCCTGAGCTCTTTCTCACTTGCAACAGATCCCTCCCTTGGTCTCCTTCTGCTTACCCTTTATTTTGCTCTTTGTTTGTATTTGGCTTTACTCAAGAAAGAGATAGTGCATCTGTGTGTGCATGCATGCGTATGTGTGTCTGTCTGTCTGACTTATTTCACTCAGCATTATATTCTGCAGGTGCATCCGTAGATACAATTGCTGCCATATAGCATGTTTCATTCTGCGTGTCTGGTTTTGTATCTTACTGCCATGATCATAATGCATGGGATGGTACCTAGAAAGTAGCAGACCCTTAAATTTAGAATGAGTCCATAAATTTAATTGATCAATTTGTTGGGATCTATCAAGTCATCTCTAGGAATTAAAATGTCAGGAATAGTTCTAAAAATACGGTATTAGTCTTAATTATTTTTCACATAATTTTTATTAGAGCCAAGGGGTGATATTTGAAACTATACTGATCACTCTCATAGAGGGAGGGGACTGGTTTGTAAATCTGTAATAGCTTAGAAAGAAAACAGTAATCATTAATATATTATTTATAATTATGCTTGCTCTTTCTATCAAGAATGTATACATATATATTATACATATATATATATAATTTTTTCATGTATTTTAAGCCAATATTTACTGGTGTTTAATTTATACACACTGAAGCACAATGGCTCTTAAGGGGGCAGCTCAGGGCACTCCTGCACATCCTTCTCATCACCGAGGACTCTCAAGGAAGGAGCAGACGACTCACTGATACTGTCCACCATGGTGGCATTCTTGTCCAACTGGAGAAGCCCATTTGCTTATTTACTCAGGAATTGCAACACCCTCCAACCTCCATGTAGACATTTTCAAAATTAGGGTCAGCTGTTCCTTGAACCAAATGTCACCAAGGTGACACCTTCATCTATAGAGAGAAAGCAGAATCAGTGCCCAGGGATTTGTGGATAGCATCCCCCCTATGACCTTCCTGTAGCACAGAAAACTCTATTCCCTCAAACTTCGTCTTCCTTTATTAAATGAGATAGCAACATGGAAAAATATAATCCCTAGAGTAGGTTTTGTATACAATGGTATTGTCTTGGTTACTTTTCTCTCATTACTGAGATAAGACACCTGCGGCCCAGAATTAAGGAAGGAAAGGTTTATTTGCTCACAGTTTGTGAAGGTTTCAGTCCAAACTTGGCTGGCTCCGAGGCAGAGTGGCATATGACAGAGGGCAACAGTTCATAGTGACAGAAGACAGCAAAAGCAGTAAGAACAAAAGGGGAGAAGCAAAACAAGCAAGCTTCTTCCCCTTCCTTATACCATATGCAGGCTGCCTGCCCAGGGCCGGTGTAGCCCTCACACTGATAATCCCAACATTGGACCATGAATCAATCACAAACCCTAGAACCATGCACCCATGGCTGCATGAGGCTTTGGGTGGGGGGACATCCAGACACAAACCTTAGCAGGTGTCATGGTAATGTGCTACATCCATACAATATAGAATCATTATATTTTCCATTCTAGGTAATCCTGTATTCTGAAGGATTTGAATCCAGCAAAGTACTAGCAAGGAAAATGACCCAGATGTATAAGCTCTGCAGTGAACAGCTGTCACAGCAGGATCACTATGACTTCGGCATGAGAGCCGTGAAGTCTGTGCTGGTCATGGCTGGGTAAGAAACCAAGATGGGGACTGGCCAAATAGCTCAGTGGATTAAAGCGCCTGTGTAGGCAGACACAGTGGCTAGGGTTCAACACCCGGTGTGCCATGTCGGCCCTGCTCCCGGGGTGCACTGAGGCAGCAATTGAGACTGGGCGTGGTGACACGCACCTGTAATTCCAGGTCTTGGGAGGCTGTAAACAGGCAGATCACTACAAGTCTGATCTAGTAGTGAGACCCTGAATACCCTGTAGACCCTTCAAAAAAAAAAAAAAAAAAAAAAAAAGCATCTCTTTAGAGCTACTGAGCCTGCTATGCCTGGAATTTAACTTGCCCAGAGGCTCTGGGGACATCCATTCTCCTTGTCCTTCCACTCGGGCTGGTACTCACTGACTCAGGCTTGGCACGGCCAAGGCCCCTGTCGCCTAGTTCTTATAGTTTGCACAAATCCCCCAGCACTCTGTTCTGGATCTTTCCTTTAACCTCTCAGATTCAGTACGTCCTCCCTCTACAGGATTTCCAAAATGTTTGCACTCAGAGAACACAGCACCAGCCCAATGGGCAAGCCTGGCAAGTGGGCATTAGTCTGTTCAGGGTGACAAGGACAACAAAAAGACTGTGCCCGAGGTTCATTGGAGAAGTGGATGCAGGGTAGGGGGCTTTCTAGCCAAGAGAGTAACTGGTCTGGATTTTGAAATGTAAATAAGAGTGAGCAAAAGAGCAAAGTAGGACATTTGAGGCAAAGAAATAAAGAAAGGGACACGGATATGTCACCATAATGCATTCAGAGCACTGTAAACTGAGGGTGAATAAAGTCTGAGCAGGAAGAGCAACCGGTCTGAGAAGGTGTCCTTGTCATGCTCCTTGAGATTGTTGTCAGGGCAGAACTTGATTCTGTGCTGTGACAGCGATGGATGCTGAGCATTCAGGGGAAGATGACCCTCTCCCGCTAGCTGGACTTTTGGGATGAGGGAAGGAAGATCAAGTTTCCTACAAGTCGAATCCGTGACCTGCCATTTTGAAAATCACGTTCAACCTTGTGATCTTGTGATGTCGTCAATGTTCCCTTGAATTCAGGTCTTTGAAAAGGGAGAACCCAGACCTAAGTGAAGACGTAGTGTTGATCAGAGCTTTGCGAGACTCCAACTTGCCCAAGTTTCTAACAGACGATGCTCTTCTCTTCAGGTATGTTTCTGTATGTTACAGAGTAAAGCATGGCTACCACCCAGCCCGAAAGGCCCGTCTCCAATTATCCATCTCTACAAGCTAGTACCATTTTTTTTGGGGGGGGGATTTAGTACAGGGTCTACAAGGTCTCACTACATAGATCAGACTTTTAGTGATCTGCCTGCCTGTGTTCAGCCTCCCAAGAGCTGGGATTACAGGCATGTGCCACCACACATAGTCTCTAGTGCTGTCTCAGCGTGCCCTGGGGCAGGACCAGCATGGCATACCAGGGATCAAACCCCAGCCGCTGTGTCTGCCTAAGCAGGCATTTTAGTCTGCTGAGCTATTTGGCCAGCCTAAACTAGTACCATTTTTATGGAAATACTTATGGGAATTTAAGAAACACTTGTTAAAAATAAAGACACCAAACTTTCAGCATTATTCTACCTTTTTTTTTTTTTCCAAAATATGGTTCACCACGTTGTGTGCTATACAAATTAACATTTAGTTACAAGTTCTTATTCTAAGAAAAATTTCCAGCTGGAAAAAAATTAGGGCTGGTGCTTATAAATGTGATTGCTTTTATCCATTTCATATTTCATTGTTTTTTTTTTCAAATTACAAATGGCCACAATTTTAAAAAGAAAATAATTTCATCAATGAGTCTATGGAGGCCAACAATCCTTTGCCCTCCACCAACTCCCACTTCCCATGGATGATCAACTGTCAACTCAGTTCCCTTCATACTTCTTAGTACCTACGCTTATGCCACATAGAGCTTTAAGCATTAGATTAATAAGGGGAAATGAAGATACACACCGAACCTGTCCCTTGCCTGTTTATTATGCATCTTCTCCATCTAGTGCTACGGCAGCACACTGTACGCTAAGTAGCCAGGGTGTCCAGCCCTTATTGTAGCTTTACAAATATTACCCACTGCTAACCTGTTTTTCTTCTTTATTAATTTATCTTCTTTATTTGTTTTCCATGCAGTTGATTATTGTCTTGGGCTTTTTGATTATATATACACACATGTATTTGAACTTCTATAATATTTCTAGAAGAGAGATCCCTGGAAGCAGGTTTCCAGGGCCACAGCATTCACTTATTTTTAATTTAAGTAGACTCTGAAGTTGTTCTCCAAAGAGGTTTTACTCTCTGACATCTATAAAACTACTTTATGAAATGTCTGTGTCCCCTTAAATATTTTAAATAGTGCCTAAATACAGTGGCCTATTTTATTATTAATGTATTATACATTATTTCCTAGGTTCATTTACCATTTCTATTTATTCTTTTTTTTTTTTTTTTTTTGGAACCGGGGATTGAACTCAGGCCTTTGTGCTTGCCAGGGAAGCACTTATTCTACTGAGCTAACTCCTCAGGCCCTCTATTCTTAGAGCATTTTTCTGTTGTGCTTCTTACTTATTTGTTATAGGAATTTATAAACTATATCTTATACAAACATTGGAAATATCTCTCTAAGCCTCTCATTTATTTTTTAATTTATGTATTTTATCCCACATAAAGTTTTTTTGGTCTGTTTAATATTTTCACTGTATCAATTTTTTTATAGTTGTAGATTTTTTAGTTTTTTATAAACATCTCTCTAGCACAATATTCACCCCTTCTATTTTCTATGTGATCTTTAATGTATCTCAAATGTATTTGTGTATATGAGGTAGTGATTTATCTTCTTTTTCCCATAAAATGTCTCCTATAAACTTTTCTTGTAAAAGGAGTAAACTTTACCCTTTCTTTTTTATAATCTACTACTAATTTTCTATTTTAACCTTCATTTTATTTTGTAATTATTCACATAGAGTTATAAGTGTATATAAATGCTTTGGAAAAGTTGAGATATAAATACAATTTTAAATAAATTCGTTGCTTTCTGTACGTTTGCAACTATACTACATACTATGGACAATGTAAAATGCATAAGAGACAAAGTAGCAAACACAAGGCTGAGCAGGTCTAGAAATGTAACATGCAGTATGAGGATGATAGGTAATAATATGTGTTAGATTAAGGATTTTGCAAAATAGGATTTAGCTGCTCTTGTCACAAAAGTAAGTTCAATGATAGATGACAGATGTATTGATCTACTTCCCTCTAGTAACCATTTTACTATCTATATGTATTTCAATATACACTTTAGAAATCCAATTGTAAGCAATAAAGGTTTTTTTTTAAAAAGAAACAAAGAAAAAAATACATAAGAGATATTGCTTGCTTCATGAAGCTTCTAGTATACTTAAAAACACTTATCTATCATACTGGAAAAATATACAGTATGTCAGAAAAAAAATAGAGATTCTGATACAGCAAATAGCACATTTAAGTAGTATAAAACTCTGCTACATGCAAAATCATGTTGTGCATATTCAAAAGAATCAATTAACTGTAACAAATATGACAAAATATCAATGACTAGTGTTTCCTAATTGATTTTAATTTTACTTTGTCAGTGGAATCATATCTGACCTTTTCCCTGGAGTCCAAATTCCAGAACACGACTATGGTATTTTACAGTCAACAATTGTGGATGTCATGAATGGACAAAACCTTCAGCCTGAGATATGTATGGTTAAAAAAGTGATCCAGTTCTACGAAACCATGCTTGTGAGGCATGGCGTTATGTTAGTAGGGCCAACAGGAGGAGGCAAGACTACAGTTTACCAAATACTAGCAGAAACTTTAGGGAATTTACAGAAACTTGACCTAGGCAATCCCTTTTATCAAGCAGTGAAAACTTATGTTCTTAATCCTAAATCAATAACAATGGGTGAGCTATATGGTGAAGTTAATAATATAACGCTGGAATGGAAAGATGGCTTGATGGCGCTAAGTGTCCGAGCAGCTGTGAATGACACTTCAGAAGACCATAAATGGATCATCAGCGATGGGCCAGTGGACGCGCTTTGGATTGAAAATATGAATACGGTGTTGGATGACAACAAGATGCTGTGCCTGGCTAACAGTGAAAGAATCAAACTCACGCCTCAAATCCACATGCTGTTTGAGGTAAATATTTGACTTACTGTGGAGTGAAATTAGTCATGAAGTTGGGACACTAGCATTACATTTTTCCTCTCACACTGTATCACCTACCATCTGTGATGGTGATCTGTTTACTTATTAAGTTTTCATTAAATGATCCTTGTGAAGCAGACTATCAATCCTGACAGTCTCTCAAATGCTTCTCTCAATAAAGAGGAAATCAAATAAATTCCAGTTTTTTGGCACCTGTTTTCTTTCCTTCAGAGGCAGATATATATAATTTTAAATTCTAAGTTTAAGAATTGTTCTATTTTTATATTAATAAATTATTCCACTGTGGTATGAATATTTCATGAGACATTGGAAGAAAGATGTGAACTAAATAAAGCTTCAAAACCTTATGGGAGGGGCCGGGGAGCTTTAAAAGTGTGACTCCTTAACACTGAATCTGGATGAATAAGAAAGTATCATGTCGCCTGTTTGCTATCCAACTGTCTCATCTTCAGGTGCAAGACCTAAGGGTTGCCTCCCCTGCAACCGTCAGCCGGTGTGGGATGGTGTTCGTGGATCCTGAAGAACTGAAATGGTTGCCCTGTGTGAAGACTTGGATGAATGGTATTTCTAAAAGAGTACGTGCCACTAGGTGGCCCCCAATTTCTCCATCTGTCCTGGAGTACGGGAGTAGCAGTGGGTTAAGACAGTACCAGGCTGCTCCACTGAGGGACCTCCATGATCCTACCTTGTCCCTCTCCCTAGAGATTCATAAATCCTCTGGGAGTGTTTATAGCCCCTGAGACCAGCCCACTAGCCCCTGGTCATTCTGTCCCCTGGCTTTGCCCCAGACTGATTCCTGTCATGTGTAGACCCAAGCCACTTCCTCAAATCCCTAAAAACAGCTAGAACAAACTGGAGCAGTGAAAAGGGGCTTTCTTCTTTTTCATTGTTCTAAATCATGAAAGACAATCAATGAAGAAAGGTACATGAACTATGCACTGGCAGGTTGAGGAGTTATAAAATGAGCACCTCTCTAACCATGGTCAAAGCAAGCAGTAGACTTTCTCTACTATCCAGAACCCCCTGCATTTGTCCTTTCCTAATCAATGAAGTTTCCCTTAAAATTTATTCCATATTTTATGATGTTTATATCCTTTGATTTAAAGGTTACTGAATATACTGAAATATATATATCTCCATTCTAAACTTAATGTTTCATGTAATCTTGCTAAAACATTATTTGCTTATTTCAGTTTCAGCTGAATGAGGAAACCCAAGGATACATACTGAATCTTTTCCAGCGTTATGTTGATGAAGGCTTAAATTTTATCAATAAAAAGTGCAACCAAGCAATCTCACAAGTGGACATCAGCAAAGTTACTACACTCTGTTGCTTACTGGAGTCTTTGCTATTTGGCAAAGATGGAATTAACTTGTCAATGGTATTTAAAGGCTTTTCTTGCTGCTATGAACCGAAGAAAGTGGTATTACTGTATAGATCCTTAGTGTATATATAACCACAAATAATCTGAAATATGATCTTTTGGTTTTCAAGTTGATTCTTGAGAGAACTAATGCCTTCAATTAGGTTGACAGAATCTCAAGGTTATTAGAGAATAATATTAAAGAACCTCTATTTTATTTCTCTACTTAACTTTCAATTCCCTTGCAGTTTACAACACATCCACAATCCAAGATGCTCTCAGTGCTTTTAAGTGTTTTTAAGTGCTGTCTTGCAAATATTAAAAAGAAGGTATAGTCGATAATTGAAAGACAACCTTCCCCAGACATGTTTTGGCATTCACTTTCTCATCAGCATTCAATTATGTAGATGATGATGTTGCTCCGTGGACGGTTGAATGAAATATACACTGTTCCTATTTTTAAAATTGTGAATACAAATGGAAGAAGTCTTTAGACTTTATAACTTGAGGTTCTTTGTGTATATATATATATATATAGTATTACAAGTATTTCTCTTTGCTTTTCCAGGAGAAAACCAAACTGAACACTGTGATATGTCAGACTTTTGTATTCTGTTATTTATGGTCTGTGGGTGGAAACTTAACTGAAAACTACTGGGATTCTTTTGATACGTTTATTAGAACACAATTTGATGATAATCCTGATGCCAGGGTAAGAACAAAATAAATTTAGAGTGATCCAAAAAAATTGTGTGTGTGTGTGTGTGTGTGTGTGTGTGTGTGTGTGTGTGGAACCAGGGATTGAACTCAGGCCCTTGCGCTTGCCAGGGAAGAACTTATTCTGCTCAGTCATGTCCCTGGCCTAAAATTAAATTTTAAGATTAAACTCTAAAAGCCTTAATTCCATTATAAAAAATAAATTATTAATTGAGAGTTTTTAAGTTAGTCACATTTTTAGCCATAAATATTATATATTTAATAAAATTTAGGGGTCCTTTCCTAGCCATACAAAGAAAATAAAGCATAGAGTTATTTTTAAAAACCGTCTACTATCAGTGATTATTGAATTCTAATAAGGAAATTGATCTTGCATTTTGTGATTGCTTAGTACTTCTGAAAGTTGTTCTGTACATTCTAAGATGGAGAAATAAGTGAATATATTGAGATTTTGCACTATTAGAGAAAGGATTTACAAATATGAAAGGAAAAGATTAGAATTGGTATGTAATGTTTGAAGAAATATCTACTCAAATTATTTAGTAATTCTTAAATTTACTCTATTTTATTTTTGTGTTGTAAGACTTCTGGTACACTCTTGGCATTGAATCCTTACTAAATATCACTTGGCGATACCTTTTCCCATTCTGTGAATTGTCTTTTTTCCTTATTAATAGTCTTCTTCAAAGCATAAAAAAATTAAATTTTGTTGAAGTTCTTTAGGATTTTCTATACTCAAGATTATGTCATCTAAAAATAAAATTTCATTTCTTCTTTTCCAAAAAAAAAAAAAACAGATTAGAATGCACCTTGTGTTATTAGATTGAAAATGAAAGCCTCAGTATTCATGGGTTCTCAAAATATTACCTTATGAGCTAGGTGTCGTGGCACACGTCTGTAGTCCCAGCACTCGGGAGGCTGAGGCAGAAGCATTGTTGTGAGTTCAAGACCAGCCTGGCTCAAGGCCAGCCTGAACTGCATAGGGAAACCCTGTTTTAAAAAGACAAAAAAAAAAAAAGAGAGAGAGAGAGAGAAAAGGCAGAGGGAGGGAAGGAGAAAAGGAAAGGGACAGAAAGAGAAAGGGAAGGAGAGAGAATACTACCTCATCTACATATAAGTGTATGAAACTGCTATGTGTCTACTGTTGTCCTTCAGTGTCCATGGGGGATGAAGGTTCCAAGACTCTACCATGAATGCCAAACCATCACTCAATAATTATGTCACTTTAACAAAATTCTTTAGTGTTTGCCTATAACCTACACAACCCTGGATTATCTAGGATTATCAAATCATCTCTAGATTACATAATACACCTAGTACAGTGAAATGCCCTATAAACTGTTACTAGGTTGCATTGTTGAGGGAATAAGAGAGAAGAAAAAGTCTATACTTATTCAGTAGATATGCAAGTTCTTTCCCAAATATTGTTGATGCCAGGGAGATAGTTCAGTAGAATAAGTGCTTGCCTGGCAAGTGCAAGGTCCTGAATTCAATCCCCAGTACTGCCAAGAAAAAAAAAAAATCCAAATATTTTTGATGTATGATTGATTGAATCTGTGGATACAGAATCCATCGATGGGGGAAAAAAGAATCCATAGATAGAGGACCAATTCCATTTGTACACACACACACACACACACACACACACACACACACACAATGATCACTGAATTATGATGGGAACATTTTGAGTATATGGTAGTGCAAAAGTGTACACACTTAACCACTCTGTTTTTCACTTATAGCATTCAATAAATTACATGAGATATTTAGCACTTCATATAAAATAAGCCTTATGTTAGATTATTTTGCCCAACTATATACTAATATAAGGGCTGTAGAATATTTAAGGCAGGATAAGCTAAGCTATGATATTCAGTAATTTAGGTGTATTAATTTATTAGCTCTTTGTGTTGAGAGAACTAGAAATGACAGTTCAACAGCCTTGTCCATACTTAGCTTGGTAATTTCTAAATACTATTCTGAGCTAAAGGGAACCAAAGCTCCTTAGTTAAATAACTGTTCCGAAGATAGGGGCAACAGAAGTACAACTGTGTCTCTACCATCTAGTGCCAGATAGTAGTGATGTGCCCAAGGGGTGGTGGGAAATGTGGAAAGAATATGGAGCCGAGTGCGGAAGAACTCCAACCTATAAGAACTGGGAAGATTTAAGCATCAACCTAAATACTGGTAATATGTATTGGATTATAACCCTTTGAAAGAAATAAAATCTATGAGATTATACTGATGATAAAACTATGCATAACTAAAGAAATAAGTAGGGGAGAAAGAAAAGCTTTTCCTTACAACTAATACCAATCAGTCTATGTTAAATAAATAATGGATTGAGTCACATAGTCAACACTGTATTGGAGACCCAAGCCAGGGCAGTAAAGCAAGAAAAATAAATAAACCACATAAGTTTTGGAGAGGAAGAAGTAAAACCATCACTGTTTGCAGGAATCAATGTTGAATATTTAGAAAACCTTAAATAATGTACAAGTAAATTATTAGAATTAATAGGGTCGGCCAACTATCTCAGCAAATTAAAGCACCTGCAAGCAGGCACAGGTGCCAGGGGTTCGATCCCCAGGCCTGCCCTGCTGGCCCCGCCCCTGGGGTGCGCTGAGACTGCAATTGAGACTGTGCGCACCCGTAATCCCAGTTCTTGAGAGGCTGTAAACGGGTGCATCACTAGGAGTCCAATCTAGTAGAGAGACCCTGAACACCCTGTAGACCCTCCCCTAAAATACAAAAAAAAAAAAAAAATTGAATTGATAAGTATGTTTTCAGGGCTGACCAGAAAGCTCAGCAGATTGAAGCACCTAACTAGACAGATGCAGGCACCAGGTTCCGTTCCCGGCATTCCATGCCAGTCCCGCCCCGGGGCACACTGAGACGGTGAATGAGACTGGGCCTGGTGGTACGTCCCAGTAATCCCAGCGCTTGGGAGGCTGAAAACGGGAGAATCACTGCGAGTCCGATCTGTGTAGTGAAACCCTGTAGACATGTACTAAATACATAAAAAAGAAAAAATAAGTATGTTTCCAAAGCTATTGAATATACGTTCCACAAAAAGCTAATTTTCAAGCAATACAATTTATAATACCAACAAATATCAAATACTTAGGAAAACAATGAAAGATGTAAAAGACTTGTACAAATCACCAAACTTTACTGCAAGAAACTTTAAAATGGCTAAACAAAAGGAGAAATATTATATGTTCATGAACTGGAATGTTCCTAATTATTATTATTAAGGTCTGTTCTCTCCAGTGTATTCTGAACAGTCAAGGCAATTCCAGTTGCAAAACCCCAACAAATTTTTTGACAATCTCATCCCAAAATTTATTTGGAAATGTAAAATTTCTATTCTAACCAAGATGATTTTTTTTAAAAAATGAAGAAAAAAAAATGAAGAACTTAAATTATATAAATTTAAAGCAACAATATTAAGATGTGGCCCTGATTGAAGAATAAACAAGTAGAACAAATAAACTACATTAATATGCACATTTGTAAAAACTCTTGGGACTCTTGAAACTATGATAAAAATGAATTTCTAAAATAAAATTAATGAATTTTTAAATTTAAACACCAGTGTATTTCTTGATCACACCTCCCCTATCTATTGCCGTGTGACAATGTTGCTTATCACCTACTGAAAGTGGCATTTAATTTCATGTTTAGCTCCCCAGCTCTGGCGACCTCTGGAGCATTCACGTGGACTTTGACACCAAGCGGCTGGATCCTTGGGAACGGATCATACCTACCTTCAAGTACAGCCGGGATGTCCCGTTCTTCGAAATGCTCGTCCCCACAACCGACACCGTGCGCTTCGGGTATCTAATGGAGAAACTGCTGGCGGTCAAGCATTCCGTGTTGTTTACTGGAATAACTGGAGTTGGCAAGGTAGGAAACCTATATCAGACAAGAAGTTCTGTCCAACAGAACTTGTAGGGCATGGTGGACTCAGAATTATAGATAAGAGAAATGAAACACTTTTTCTCAAAGCAGCGTCTTTTATTTTTATCTTTCTCAAGAATGTAGCCATGCTGAGTATATACTGACCCTAAAAATTACTCCAAAGTTTACCACCTTCTGAATAAATCTTTGGGTTGTTTTTATATAAGCCATGGGAACTTATAGACTGTCGTGTTAGGAGCCTTTATGTGGCAGTCGCTGGTCCTTCTGGACCTGCCACTGTACGGGTTGGGTGGGAATTGACCAGAACAGTTTGTGTCCCCAAAAGACCCCTGAAGATCAGCTGGTCCCCTCTCGCCTACTTGCTTCTACCTGACATAGCAGTGGTGCAATATTAATGTTGCTGGAAAAACTAGAGCAGAGGAGAAATGTTTGGGAGGATTTTAGACAAACAACAGTTCAACGCTCCCCGCCTAATTTATTTCCAAAACAACTTTGGATCTTTCTGTGACTCACATTATCAAATTGGTTTGAATAGCAACCAAAATAGTTTGGTATGAAACTAAAATAAAACTTTATGATGAGGTAGGGCCGATTAGAACATTTCTTTGGTTCTGATGAATATAAATAACTAAGTGAAATGTCCAGGAAGCTAGAGAATAGCAGGTATTTCAGTCTGGATTTGATTTCTCTCCTTTTATCTTGTTTGTTACTTATCATACTGGATTATTATTGACTTAGGCTACTGAAAAATATTGTGATGAATGTAAAATCAATAACATTTTTAATTTTAAAGTCTGTTATTGCCAAAGGATTGTTAAACAGAATTCAAGAATCAGCTGGCTATGTCCCTGTTTATCTAAATTTTTCCGCACAAACTTCATCTTCAAGAACACAAGAGATTATTGAATCAAAACTGGAAAGAAAAAGAAAAAATATTCTAGGTAAGAATCAGTTTATTCTGCATGAACTATTTATTAAATTAATAAATTGCATCAATAACACATGTAATAAAACTATATATTTTCTTGGCTTAATTAGCAAAGCTGTGTAACTAGCAAAGCCTCATATGTGTCATTATAATAAAATAGCTGAAACTGTTCACTTTATGAAGAAAAAAGGTTTATTTAGTTCATAGTCAGTGAGGTCCATAGGCTTGGTGCCAGCATCAGCTTCTTATGAGGAAGGGCCTCATGGTAGATGGTATCACATGGCAGTAGGGAGAGAAAGAGAGAGAGAGAGAGAGAGAGAGAGAGAGAGAGAGAGAGAGAGAGAGAGAGGGAGAGAGAATCATGTGGCAGAAGAGAAAGAGAGAGAGAGAGCTAGGAAAGCCAAACTGGCTCTATAACTCCTGTGGTAACAAAGCCAATCTCCAGTCCCATGAGAGCAAGAACTGACTTTGAAGAAAAAAAATACCAAGCCTCTAACAAGATTTCTCAACACTGTTATGCTGGGGACAAAATCGCACCATGAATTTTGGTGGGGGAAAAGTTAGAAAGGTGATTCTGCTAATATTGTTTCAAGTGCTAAACATCTAGATATCTCTCTGTTTAAAAAAATCATTTCTATTACCTTCATGGGAACATCTTCAGTTTCCACCCTTTCATGGTTTTTCCCTCTCTCCATGGCTCTTCTATTGATTCCTTTGATTTCTCTTGATTCAAAACCAGCACACTTCTTTATATCTGATGTAGTACTGAGTCTCTGAACTCAGCAGTAAATAGATATGGAGTACTTTGGATTTTCTTCTCAGTCAGCACTTTCAGCTGGGTTTTAGTATCTCTCTTACTCTCTTTTGTTAACTAGATAATAGTATAGCTTTCGGGTCACTTTCAGATATTTTGGGTTTGTTTGGGGGGGTTAGTACCTGTTTAGTTTGGATCTAGCCAGTGTCATCCCAAAACCTGTCCCCCATCATAGCCAGGGTTGTGGTTCCAGCTGCTGGAAGCAGAGGGGGATGTGGGCTGTTATTTGCTCTCCGTCACTGTCCCTGATAGAAGGAGGAAAGGACAGGAGGCTGCAGGCCCGCAGCACTCAGGTGGGCCTCCGAGCAGGGCATCCTTGCTGCTCTGATCAGCGCTGAACGTCTGCCTGTGCTCTCTGGAAGCAGGCTTCTGGGAGCAAGTTCTCATGAAGGACTCCTAAAGGAGCTGTGTGCAGAGCAGGCCTCAGCCTCCCCGTGGGAGGCTCCAGGAGCCTGGGAGTCGAGATCTCAGCTGCCATTCAGGCCCATCCTACAGCACTGCTTCCTCTAGCCTCCTCCTGGTGTTTGTCTCAGTGGCTGTACTTAGGGTCAGCCTCCCGTGATTAATCCCAACCTCAGGGATTTGGCCGTATGCCCATCAGTCTGGAGCAGTGGATGCCAGAGCAAGCTGTTCCCTTTTCTCTGTGTCTGTGTGTGTGTCCGTATGTATGTCTCTGTGTGTGTCTGTGTGTGTGTGTGTGTTTCTAATGAGAGTTGATGTTGGTTTTCTTTAAGTGTAGCCCTGTGTAGGAAATTTACTCTCCTGGATCCCATTTGATGTGACTGGGACACCTTTGAACACCAAACCCTGTTTTCTCTGAAGTTAGTAGATGAAAGAAAACCTTCAGCATTTCTCTCATTCTGACTGTGGAAAGAGAATGTCCTTCTTCACCCATGCCCAGGCACAGGGTTGGTGAGGATGGTGAGCACGGCTGGCACTGAGAAAGGTCCAGACCTCACTGGAGAGCTGTCAGCATCATGTGTGCTGAGGGTGAGGGTGACAGACCAGCTGACATGACAATATGGGCATCTTGACCAGATCTCCCTGCAGGAGATGAGGCCAGAAGTCCTCCTCAGTCAAGAGAGCAGAACTGTGCTCTCTAGGTATCACTGAGTCCAAATGGTTACCAGACTTTGTGTTGGTCTGTTTTATGTTGCTGCAACAGAAAATCTGAGACTAAGTAATTTATAAAGAAAAGAGATTTCATTAACTCAGAGTCATGGAAGTCCAAGAGTCTGATGTAGGCTTTATACAGCTTCAATTCATGCAAAAAGTAGAAGAGCAAATAGATATACATAAGACAGAAAGGGAGGACTAAAGTCCTCACTAATCCAACCCCCAAAGAAGAGCCCCCATGGCCCCAGATGATTCTTAGTGGCTCCATGGCCTCAAAACACTGTCACCTTGGGAAGGAAGCCCCAGGGAGCTTTTGTGGGGACAAACCACATTTGAACCATACTAAAGCCATGACCATTTTGTCTTTACGTTTTCTAAGTGTATATCCTAATTGTTGAATTGAATTGCTTTTTATTTCCCCAGGAGCCCCAGGAAACAAACAAGTGGTGATTTTTGTGGACGACTTGAACATGCCCAGGCTGGATCGCTATGGCTCTCAACCTCCAATTGAATTACTTCGGCAGTATCAGGACTTTGGTGGATTCTACGACAGAAACAAACTCTTTTGGAAAGACATACAGGTTACTTTTTAAGTTTGCTTGTTTGTTTTGTTTTTTGTTTTTTGTTTTGCAGAACCAAGGGTCAAACTCAGAACCTTGCACTTGCCAGGCAAGCATTTATTCCACTAAGCTATCTCCCCACCCCTATAATTTAAGAAAAATTTTTTTTTTTTTTTTTTTTTTTTTTTTTTTTTTTTTTTTTTTTTTTTTTGGTTGGCTGGCTGGCTCAGACTGCCTTTAGGCTAGTTCTGGTGAGGCATGTGGAGCTGGGGATCAAACTATGGTCCCCTGCACATGACTGAGTTTGCCCAAGCAGGAATTTCAAACAACTGAGCTAACCCACAAGCCCTTTAAGTTTTAATTTGCTTGTTGTGTTCAAATTTAAATAATGAGGAAATGTGGTTATTTGTTTGCTAGGACTGCCATTAAAAAGTGCCACACGCTGGGTGGCTGAAACAATTTATTTTCCCATAATTCTGAAGGCTAGACTGACATCTAAGGCCAAAATGTCAGTAGAATTAGTTTCAGTCTTCTTCCTTGGCTCACTGATGGTTACCTTGGCCCTATACATTCCCGTGGTTGCATTAGTCTATTTTCTGTTACTAATAACAGAATAGCACACACTAGGTAAGTTATAGAAAAAAAAAAAAGATTTATTTTGGTTCATAGTTTTGATCCACGGTCAAGGGGACAGAGTCTACGCATGGTGCATGGCACCCTGGACAAGGGACAAGGAGGTCTCGCATGCATGTCTTCTAGTCTCTCCCTTTTCTCATAATCCCCCCTGATAGCTTTATTCGATGCTCATCACTTCCTGCATCTTAACGTCACCATCCGATAAAGTTTCCACTTTGTTAATATGTCACAGTGGGAATTAAGTACAACATGATTTTTGGAAGAAAAACTGTTTTCAAATCAGTTCATCCCAGCCCGCAAAACTCATGTCTTCTTCACGTACAGCATGCTACCCATCATCCTATCCAAATAATTCCAAGTCTTAACTCATGTCAGCATCAAGCAAAAAGTCCACAAAGGTTCATGAGGGACTTAGGGCACCCCTTCCAGCTGTGAGCCTGTAAAATCGAAACAGATTCAGTACTTCCAATATACAGTGGTGGGACCAGCACAGGGTGTATGATCCCATTCCAAAAGGAAAGGATGGCCATGCATGAAGATGTACTCTGCCCAAATCAGGTCTAAACCCTAGCAAGGAAGACTAAATCTTACAGCTCCAAGTATGGCACCTTGTGCACAGGTGGGGAGGCATGGGACCCCAAGGCCTTGGGCAGGCCTGAGGTCACACGACTGGTCACAGCCACATAGTTGCTCTCTTGGGCTGCAGGCCTATGACTGCAGCCTGGCTAGGCAGCTGTGGCACAGTGCTGGTGGCTCTCCCTTCCTGGGGTCCCAGCTACAGCTCCACTCCTACAGATGCTTTAGACATTGCCCTGAGGGGTCTTCTATGATGACTTCATCCTGTAACAAACTTCTGCCTGGCATCCCAGCATTTCTTTGAAATCCAGGGAAGCCTCCATGATCCTGTATCTCTTGTACCCTGTATAAGTACAGAACTGGCAGCATGTGGAAGCCAGGTCTGTCACAACCCAAGTAGTGCTTAGGCCCACTCGAACCACAGCTGTGGCTTCTGTGGAGTGTTCCTTTGTAAAGAAAGAGCACAACGTGAAGTGGCCCTGGGCAGTGAGCCTGTGGAAAGTCCCCAGCCCTTCCTGAAGCAGTCCTGCCCTGGGCGCTTCTGAGCCTATATTGGGGCAGGCACCCTCACAAGACGTCCTCTGGGCCTCTGCCTCATCTCTTGCCAGCTGCATCCCTGCTAAGATATTTAGCAAATAGCTGCTTACAAAGTTTTTCTTTGCTTCTTCCCTGCTTAGGCTGCACATTTTTCAGGTCTTTTTGCTGTCTTTCCTTTTGCCCTTGAATCATACTCGACTTGCCTGGTAGGGCTGGTGTCTAGGTGATTCCCCAAAGATTCATGCGGTCATAGGGAGGCTTTTTAGAGGCGGCTGGATCTAGGGTGTGTGATCCTGGGATTAAGTGTGTGATGCGAGTTCAAGAGTAAGTGATTACTGAATTAGTCCACTGATTGGTTTGGCATAGTTCTAGGTGTGGATAGTGGGAAGGCCCTCCCGGGGTGTGAGTACTACCCCTGCCCCAAGGGCATGTGGCCTGGAAAGAATAGAAGCACAGAAAGAGCAGCCTTGCCTGGCTGGTTGCAGCCTTTGTCGCCGCCTCCTTCCACACCACAGACTGCTTTGTCTCCTCTGCGACGCCCTTCTGCCGCGCCATGCTGCCTCGCAACCAGCCAGCTAAGAACTGAAACCTTTACAAACTGTGAGCCCAAGTAAACCTCTCTCCCTCTTACTTTGGGTGTTGGGTTTTTGGTCTCAGCAAGGAGAAAAGTAACAAAGCATCCTCTTCTACATTTTGATTATAAACCTCCTTCTCCAGTTTCTCATTCATTTTTAACTTCCATAAAGCAGGAGGACAGGGACAGTTTATCCAAATTCTTTGCAATGCTGCAACAAGGCCTTACTTCACCTGGGATTTTCTGTTGGATCCCTCTGGGTTTTCTCTAGCCATGTCCTCCATACTCTTCTGGCCTCTGCTGATTATCCAGTTTCCAAAGGGCCAGCCAAATAGCTCAGCAGATTTAAAGCATCTGCGAACAGGCTCAGGGGTCAGGGGCTCAATCCCCAGGCCTGCCGTACCAGCCCCACCCCCAGAGTGCACTGAGACAGCAATTGAGAGTGGGTATGGTGGCGCGCACCTGTAATCCCAGCTCTTGGGAGGCTGTAAACAGGTGGATCACTACATGTCCGATCTAGTAGTGAGACCCTGAACATCCTGTAGACCCCTAAAATACAGAAAGGGAAAAATAAAATAAAAAAAAAAAAAAAGCTGCTTTCACACCTTCAGATATTCAGTAAGGAACAACAGCTTCACTTCCCAGTGAGAGTTTTCTGTTTTAGACCATTTTGTGCTGCTGATAGCCCAATAGCACTGACTAGGTTAGTTGTGAAGAAAAATAATGTACTTGGGCTTATGTGAAATAGACCTTGATTCCAGAGAGCTGAGCTTTGCAGAGCAGACAAACATTCCCAGCACCAGCTAATGCGTGGAAGGGGCAAGAGAGAGGCAGGGGTGAGGGGTGGGGCTGGTGATGGATGAAGGTTGGGATAGATATATAGTTGCATTCTCTTAATGAATAGAATGATTTTTTCTAATGGTGTTTGTAAGTAGGATCACAAGTCTGCATCTTGTACAGCAATTAACCACTAAGAAGAATATATGCAGTGTATTATTTGTTGAAACTGTACTTTCGATTTGATTTGAAACTGTCTCATTGCTATATGTTTATCAATAAAACTTTGAAAAGAAAAAAAAAAGAAAGCCTTGCCAAGGTGGTGACCCAGGAGCAGGTTATGAAGGCAGATGAAGTCAGAGCAAAGAAGGGAGCACTTGGCATCTCAGAGGCGGGGAACGTGAACTGTCACACGGGTGTGCAGTGTGAGCCGCAGAGCAGCACAGGCACAGAAGGTGCATCCCAGAGCTGCGACGAGGGCCTTGAGTGATAGTGGGAGCCTCTGAGGGAAACACTCTGGGAGGATGCCCTGGGCTGCAGGGGAGGCCAGCGAGAAGGCACGACCAAGACCCCAGGAACTACAGGCTCCGCAAGGAGAAGCCCAGAGCGTCAGAGCTCGGTGTGATGAAATGTGCCGCCACTGGCAGGGTTTAGGAGGCAGATCAAAGCACTTCTAGGTGTGGAGCTAGAGAGAAAGGAGAACTCAGGTTGACAGATGCCTAGGCAGCTGTGGCACAGTGCTGGTGGCTCTCCCTTCCTGGGAGAGCCAGGAACAGGGCTCTATCCTGGAACAGGGGCAGTTGGGTAAGTAGTTGTGCTCATAGGCAAAATAAATTATACCAAGCATTGTTCTAAGGCCTCCTGCTTACTAATTTACTTCACCTCCAGCAGCTCTGTAAAATGAGTAGCACAGTTAGCCCAGGAGAAGGGGAGACACAGCCTGAATTCTAGGATTCCCCTCTAACACGCAGGCCACTCATCATGAGTATTGCTTCAGTCACTTATCTCTTTTCATTTCCATCTTCAGATCATTTCAATCTGAAGCCAAGTCCTCTTTCTCTTGGAGTGCGGAAAGTAGCCCGTGCCTCTTGGGGAGCTGCTGGGTGGAGGACACTGACAGTAACAGCGAGCCTCTTAGAGACCAAGTGCCCACCTGTGACCCAGGACCTACTTATTTATCGCAGAGTGCCAACACTGCAATTAAACCTGAATGCTAAAGTTTTGGTTTTGAAAAGCCAACTTGTACACTAACATCTTTTGTCTTGAAAGAAACATGCAATGGTGATTTAAAAATACAACAGAGTTTTCAGTGATACAAACAGCTTTTTATTGTAAGGTTGAAAGTGTGCAATTAGTGTGCTTTTGCACAATTTCTTTTTTATTAATTTTATTGAAAAACAAATAGCAATGAGACAGTTTCAAAACCGATTAGTAGAACAGTTTCAATAATTAGTACATTGCATATTGTTGTCTTCATAGTGGTTATTCATAGTACAAGATGCAGACATGATATCCCGTCCAAACACTTAGTACAAATCTTTCTTCTCATTGAATTAAGAGAAAGTAGCTGTATATCTATCCTAACTCTTTTATATATACAGATACAAAATGGTCCTTCATTTTTAGTTTTGTCAGAGATGTGTATTCCATTGCCATTTAAATATTGTAGGTGCATGAATTCAGCTTTTGCACAATTTCTATGATCTTTGGTGTTGCATGCATGCTGAGAATTTGTCAAACCTTGGCTCATACTTCAGTAGTTTTAGAGGAGCACACACAGACTCAGGTCACCTGTTAGTCCACCTCTTATGTCAAGTTTGATATAATTCAAAGCTGAGAACAGCTGCTCACAAGCATAAGTTGATCCAAGCAAAATAAGAGGAGCAACCCCAAGTGCATTCATTGACTAAAATTATTTGGCCAACAACTCCGCACATTAGGGATGTCATTTTCAGAACTACCAGTCATGCACACCCTTCACAGTTTTCTCATGTGTTGTATACAGATCAGAATTTCTTTTTCCAGATAAAGTATTCTGAAAATTCTAATAGGCCCATGTCTAGATTTCTAAAATCTAACCAGTGTAAGCAGGAAAGATCAAGTTCTTCAACTTTGGCTTTATCTGGAGAAGTAAGAAAATACCAAGTTGTCTCCATCTTATATAACTATAAATATCTGTCTATAAAATTCTACTTTCCAGCTGCAACAATGCTGGAAAATTCCTTATAGATTTCTTGATGGCTGGCAGCAGCTGTTGTAGAATTTTCTAAATGCACTTTTGAATTTGAAATACTTCAGCTGCCCACTTGCAAGGTCGAAGGCGACTTGGTTGAGTGCCTGCTGCAGCCCGCATGGGGGTTGCCGCCACTGGGGTTAGTGGTCTTCAAACACTTGCGATCTGTTCCCACTCTGCACACAGCTTGAGTGGCCTTGTCAAAATGCAGGCCTGATGTTCCCAACCTTTTGTTTGTCCTTCAGCGACTTACTTCCCCACCCAGGTCCTTGGTTGCTTTCCTCAGTCTGTGAAATGAGCACAGCAGTAATGACCCGCTGGGCGATCCTGAAAATATGTTGCTGCGCGTGTGCAAAGATGTAACCCAATGCCGGCGCTGGCAGGTCTTCAGAAATGCTGGTTGTGAGTCCTGCCATTGAGAAAGGCAGACCTCATCTGTCTCTGCTGGGTGACCCCAGTGCGTTTCTCTCCACACAGGACGTGACCATCGTATCAGCATGTGCGCCTCCCGGAGGAGGCCGCAACCCTGTGACCCCCCGCTTCATCCGCCACTTCAGCATGTTCTGCCTCCCGACGCCCTCGGAGCACAGCCTGAAACAAATTTTTCAGGTGAGTGAGTGTGTAACGCCACACAGCCCCGGAACGCAGAAAGTGTGTGCTCCGAGGGTCCCACCACGCAGCTCAGTGGCTTTCTAGACAGCCCATCCACCTTTCCTGAGCCAGAGGCAGGTAACCAGGCACCTGGAGAGTAGCAGGCTGCCGTTTTCATTACCGCCTGCTGCATCTGTGGTCTCAGACCTGCCCCCACCCCGCAAGCCTGTGTGTCCCCTGGCCCCAGACACCACGCCTGACACGGCCAGGACCTCAAGTTCAGCATGGTCTCACCTGCTGCCAGTGCGCGCAAGAACCATTTTTCTTCCACGTGTGCTAATTTCCCTAAGGGGCCACTTCCTGTCCTTTAGGTAGGGGACATAATGGCACCTGCCCTGTAATCACTCCGCAGAAGCGGTTGAGAAATGTAAAACCTTATTCTGAGCAGAATGACGACAGAACTTGGAGCAGCGTGAAGAGCGAGCATGCTCCAACCAGTGGGGCTGAGAAAGGATAGGCTTCCAGTGGGTGTCGGTGGAGCTTGGGAACTGACAAGCAGGGCGAGATTCCACGGACACGGGAGATGGCATGCGGGGAGAATAGGGCAGCTCAGGTGACTGGACGTGCCCAGCACCGCGGGAATGAAGTGAGCCTCCACCTTCGCTAGCAGCAGCCTCTCCCTCCAGGGGAGGCCCTCTTAGGGAAGAGAGGGGCAGAGCCCTCAACCTTCAGTGGATGGACAGGCATTTCCGTTCAAGCTGGCAGAGCTTATCTCCCTGGAAAATGGTTTTTAATAAACGATAAATAGCTCCAGTAAGTTGTTTAGGTGCTAATGCCAAAATGATATATAAAAAACTTCAGGAGAATGTATTAGAATAGGAAAAGACCCCTGGTGTGGTGGTGCATGCCTGTAATCCCAGGTCTCTGGAGGCTGAGGCAGGAGGATAGCCTCAAGTTTGAGGCCAGCCTGGGCTACATAGTGAGACCCTGTCTCAGAAAGAAAAAAAGAATATGAAAAGATGGCGGTCTATCACTTGTGTCACTTGCAGTTAAGTACCAAAGTGTAGAACAGGGGCCAGTGAGATAGCTTAGCGGACTAAAGCACCTTCTTAGGCAAGATTAGGCAAGAGCATGGGCCAAAATTCAATCCGCGGAACCACGTGCCTTGCCAGCCCCGCCCCCAGGGCGAGTTGAACAGGCCAGAGTCCGCGTGTGGTGGTGCCTGCCTATAATCCCAGTGCTGGAGAGGCTGAAAGCAGGAGGATTACAACGAGTCTGAACTGCCTAACAAGACCCTGCAACAACCAAATACATTTTTTTTTTAAAAGTGTGGAACAAGGCATGAAGCAGCAATGGGTGTGACCACAACCATTGGATGGACTTTAAAGTCCTGCCACCAAGAATAATTACACTGCATTTATATTTTGGATCTGAAGTGAGAGGTTCCTCCCCACGTGATGCAGACACGCCTGTGTGCTGTGGCGAGCGCTGGGCCATGTCCTGAGTAAGCCAGTGTCCTGGGCTTCATTTTCATTGTGCTCAATCAACAAATTACTTCAGTTCTTTAAAAGTTAAGGCAAATTCAAGGTATTACCTACAAAAATATCATACTCATTCCAAAATACCTTCGGCAAATTCAAGGTATTACCTACAAAAATATCATACTCATTCCAAAATACCTTCTTTCTTGAGTGAGAAGGGGATTGTAGAGCCTGACTCCTGAGAAAGAAATCCACCCCCCAGATCTCTTGTGAGGTTGTTACAGGGACGGCACTGTGTCACTCGAAGGAACATCAGCCAGCAAGCACAGGTGGGATACAGCCGCCTCTTCCCCCTGTAACTTATAAACACAATTAAATGTGTGCCATTTGTGAACAGAAATGGAATGAGAGGCACCAAAACAGACTTGAGAGCCCACGAGGTGGGTCTGGATTCAGATGGGATTTGTAGTGTTTCCCTTGTTATTTCCAGAGCAAACAGGACACTTCACTCCTATGGGTAGAGGGACTTGCTCCAGGTCCAGGGGCCTCACATTTAAACACATTCATTGAAGCAGGGCCCAAGAGCTCAGAGCTCATTTGCCCTGCCCTCTGTCACTGTATGGGCAAGGAGGAACTGATGGAGAGTAAGCTGATTTGTCAGCAACATGGGTAAAAAATGATTTATTTATGTGGTACAAAGGAAACCTGCAGTATATGTCATTATTTTATACATAATGGAATGTAGATAATGTTTTTAATCACTTACTACTTTTAAAGCAGTCTGTGGTGTGATTGTGGGCTAATTATCTGTTGCAAGTTAGTCCAGCGGTACATATAGGCAGAGAACGGATCACTAATGACCAGGCACGGTTTGCACATATTTGGAAGTCGTAGGTCACAGCTGATTCCTCGAGCCACAGTTTATACAGACGCCTGTCTACCTGTTGGAAATGTCTTAGCCAAAATATGTATCAGTTTGCATCCTAAAAAACACACAACAAATGAAACAGATGATGATGTCACTAAGTGTAATTTCTAATTAGAAAGATGTATCAGCATAATTGGAAACCACAATCAGTTCTGTAAAATACTAATAACATCCTCCTGCCAAAACACCCTTCCCCAACTGTGAGAATTCTGGCTATATTTTGTGTGCATCTTCTTAGGGGGAGCTTTGCAAAGTTGTGAAACGCGATATAGCCACACCTATAAGTTGTGACCTTCAGAAACCTCTATAATGAAATGCTAATTTTCATTTCTAAAACAATTTAGTGGCCATTCATTCATTCATTAAACAAATATTTATGCCAGATATTGGTGTGGCATTTTTAATAAAACAGACGCCACGTATGTCCTCATGGAATTTCCATAATAGAGACAGATAAACAACAGATTAGATGTAGAAGCATACCCACAGTTTTAAAATCCATGTATAAATTGTATTTTATTTGCACTGTGGCAAATAAGTAGGTTGGATTTTTTTCATATTTACAATGAGTATTCATATACATATATAATATTTTTCTTTATATATATTTGTTCATTTCAATTTTTTTCTCTTTTTTGTATTTTTTTAGGGAAAGGTTTACAGGGTGTTCAGGGACTCACTACTAGATCGGACACTGGACTCATAGTGATTCACTTGTTTACAGCCTCCCAAAAGCTGGCATTACAGGCGAACACCACCATACCCAGTCTCCATTGCTGTCTCAGCACGCCCCGGGGATGGGGCCAGCACGGCCATTTATTTCAATTTGTCTATTTTTCATTACACACTGCTGACCATATTTTTGTCATATTTGACAATTGGTTTTGAGATGCTCCTGCACAAACTACTGGCAATATGAAAAATATTACATTCCTGTTAGGGACCACCAAGGAGTGTACTTTAAAACGCAGATAGTTATATAAGCTATTGAAGCTAATGTTCAGAGAGTACCCACTGAAAACAAATAATCTGGTTGTTTCAAAATATTTCATATGAGGCCAAAATCTAAAGTCATAAGAAATACTTAGAAGGCATTAATATGGCTTCTCCTCCATTAATTTGGTGAGTCCTCCCATGAGTAACTCCAAGGTAAATAGTAAAGAGAATCTATATTTTTATAAACTATAATGATATTCCCTAGCAACTGTGGGCTAGTTCATAAATATATACTTCTAAATTGTGGTAAGCTATGTAAGAGATCAGAGGGACTGATGGGAGGACATGTTTGCTTTGGATGGCCAAGGAAGTCTTCTCTGGAGAAATGACACATTGTGGAACTCATGAAGGATGAGAAAGCCCCTGCCACACAGCCAGCCACGTGGAGTGGGTGTTGGAGAAGACACAAAGCAAGTGTGGAGACTGAGGGAGGAAAGAGAATGAGGTGCTGGGCCAGAGTGACTGGGATGGTGACTGGGGTTAGGGGTGAGCAAGATGGTGCAAGGTGGACACCCAGGGGACCTGTGGTGGGACTTTCCTGGATAAAGGAAGAGGAGACCAGAAGTGGGAGAGGCCAGCAAGAAAGGAAACAAGCGGTGAGGGAGTCCAAATGGAAGAGTGGCAGGCAGGAGTGATGTCAGAGTGTTATGGTGTGTGTCTAGTTGTCTCCCCAAAGCCTCATGCAGTCATGGGGTGGGACTTCTAGAGTTTGAGATTAACTCATGATCCACTGGGATTATGGGTATTAGTACTACTGGGATTATGAGTGTGAGTACTTCTCCCAGCCTGTGGTGGATAGCCTGAATGCAACTTAAGAGCAACAGAGAGACAGGCTTCCTCTCTGTAGCCATTGTTACTGCTACTGCTCTGTTGCTCTCTTGCTCTTTGCTGCTGCCATGAAAGGTTGCCCTCTGCCATGTGCCACTCTGCCTTGGAGCCAGCCAAGTATGGAGTGAAACCTACAGTAACTGTGAGCTAAATAAACCTTTCCTGCCTTCATTTTGGGTGTTGGGTATTTGTCTCAGCAACAAGAGAGGAGTAACTGAGACACAGAGGAAGCAGGAGGCAGGCAGAGTCTAATAGTGTGTTCAAGACTGCCTGTGGGGGACAGAAGGGAGGGGTCAGGAGAGACTACCAGCTTCCTGCTCTGAATAGAGGAGGACAGAGCCATTTACAGTGCTGGAGATGAGGGACACGAAAGTTCATACTTATAAGTCATATATCCATGAAGATGAAGTCTATAGGGTTGTTGGTTACTTGCCTATAGAAGACTTCTGTTCATTTGTAGATGTATTTGTGTACTTCTGAGAACTTCCTGTCATATCCACATGGCAGCAATGAGTGCCAGCCAGACCCCAACTCAGAAGTCAGGAATGAGCCCATTTGTGAAAGCATATTCTGAACAGAGCAGGTTTTTTAAATTCTTTTTAAAAAATCTTTTATTTATTTATTCATTTGGTACAGGATCTCACTACGCAGCTTGGACTTGTAGTGATCCTCCTGTCTCAGTCCCCCCAGGGCAGGGATCACAGATGTGCACCAGTGTGTCCAGTTTCAGTGGCCAGCTCGGAACTCCCGGGATTTCAGGCCAGCACAGCATGCAGTACCAGGGATCAAACCCAGGTCCTTGCACTTGCCAGGCAGGCACTTAGATCCCAAGCTATCTCCTCAGCCCCGAACACAGCAGTTTTGATGTGAGGTCTTTCTGTTGGAATTTAGCTTTCTAGTTGTTTTTAGAACAAAAGGGTTCATGTGAAAGTATTTGAAAAAAAAAAAAAAGATACTTGGTTGAAAAAAAAAAAACTGATGCTCTCTTGTTATATTTCTGCCTCTAGGCCATCTTAAATGGCTTCCTGAGTGACTTCACACCAGCTGTAAAGCAAACCGCATCAAACATTGTAGAAGCTGCAGTTGAGATTTATAACCGAATGAGTGTCGACCTCCTGCCCACACCAGCCAAGTCCCACTATGTCTTTAACCTGAGGGACCTATCGAAATGCGTGCAAGGTAGTGTACTAACCCTCTTCTCTGACTTCACCCTCCTCCCATTTCTGGTGGCTCTAGACCTCCAGGCAGAATCGTGTACCCAGGTGTCTATGACTCACCTAGAAACCCCATGGCACGTCCCTGTTCAACTCATCCTTCACGTGCACCCCTGAACATTACACCGCCTTTTCTAGCCACAGGGGTCCTCCATTTTCTGCCCGCAGCCAGCAGCCTTTCTTTTACTTAAAAAAATAATAAATAAATAAATAAATAAATAAATAAAAGCAACCAGTTCAGAGCGGCCACATCTGCCCAGTCTCCCAGAGAGTCTGCGTCTTCCTTCCCTGAGTTGGGCTGTCCCTGCCCCCAGCACAGGCCAAACTCCCGCTGGCCCCGGATTCCATGCACCCTTCAAGGATTTTGCTTTTATACTTCCAGCTTTGCCCTCGTGATTTCCTATTCTATTGGCTCATTCCTAACAGCACTTTAACAACAGCTTCCGTACTTCCAGTCTTCTTCTCCTTAGGCTTCAATTCCCTCAGACTGTGAATGCTCCCCCCCCCCCATTTCTTTGCAGTCTCTAGAAAGACCTCGTATAAACAGTTGCTCTTCACGGTCCCATTCTCCTTTAATGTGTGGCCTTATAGCAGTTCTACACATGCCGCTGCACTGGACCTTTCTTCCCAACTTTACGCCCTCCATTGTGTCCTATCAATGCCTCAGATCTTGATCTTACCCCACTGCCTTCCTAGTTCTACTTTGTCAATAATTTCTGAGCCTCAAAAATCATGATCTGAGGGCCAGGGATATAATTTGACAACATAAGCACATGCCCGGCTATGTGTGAGGTCCCAAGTTTGATTCCAGGTCCAAAAAAAATGATCTGTTTTAGGTCTGACAGTACAATACCAGAAAATTTTAATTTTGAGTATCTTTCTCTTTGTCCTCACATTTGATCAAAATATCCTGAAATTGCTCTATCCTTACAAATACTTACTAAAAATAAGTAAAACTGTGAGCACTTCAAGAAATATTTTAAATATACATATAAAAGTGAGATGCAGGGGCTGGTGAGATGGCTCAGTGGTCTAAAGCACCTACTTAGAACAAGCTTAGCAAAGCCCAGGGATCACGGTTCAATCCTCCAGCACCACATGCCAGCCAGCCCGCCCCCTGGTGGGCTGAGCTGGCCACACACACACACACACACACACACACACACAAATAAATAAATAAATAAATAAAATTTAAAAAAAAATAAATAAAAGTGAGATGCAAAACAATAAAACATAGTACTATTATCTATAGAAAAGTCCTCATATGGCAAGATGTTATGGTCAGCCGCCACTGTTGTGCACACCTGTGTTGTGCTGGATACTCTCCCTGTCCCAAAGTGTGAGGAGCCCTGGGTGAGGGGTCCCCATGGAAAAGGAGCATTCCCGGTCACTGGTGCACAACACTGCAATTTAGCTGCAATTATTAGAGCTATATTTGCAATAACTATTTATATTAACAGAATAGTACTCTGAATCTCTTGCGTAGCAGCCAGCAATCCCAGGACCACTGATGAGAATTGAATACTGAGTAAGAAAGAGAGGCAGTGAGTATTTCCAAAAGGTATAAGCATCAGGAGCAAAGTTGGCGAGACCAATAAATGCTTAACTTTTTAGCTCTCTGGTTTTGGGCCTCCTCGCATCGACATGGCTAAGCGCACCAAGAAGGTCGGCATTGTCGGTAAATACGGGACTCGCTACGGTGCCTCCCTCCGGAAAATGGTGAAGAAGATTGAAATCAGCCAGCACGCCAAGTACACCTGCTCCTTCTGTGGCAAGACCAAGATGAAGAGGCGGGCCGTGGGGATCTGGCACTGTGGCTCCTGCATGAAGACCGTGGCTGGTGGTGCCTGGACCTACAATACCACTTCGGCGGTCACAGTGAAGTCAGCCATCAGAAGACTGAAGGAATTGAAAGACCAGTAGAAGCTCTTACAATTTGAGACATCTTTAGCCTATAATAAATGGGTTAATTTATGTAAAATAAATAAATAAATAAATGCTTAACTTTTTAGAGAAATGTAACACCTCATTCAGCATATTGGCTGCTGATGTTCACTTAAGCAAATATCAGGAAAACAAGGGGAAGAAGTTCTTGTCTTAACATGACCCAGCTTTGCTTTTAAACAAGAGTCATGGCTACTGTCTTGTGCATCCACTAGGGAAGCACTCATTTCCGCTAATGGGGAGAAAGTCAGATTTCACTGTTTCCTACTTAATTAACTACAACTATCGATTTTACAAATGCACAATTATTCTTTCCTTTCTCTTTCCTTGAAACACAGGTATTCTCCAGTGCGATTCAGGAACAATAAGAGAAGAACTTCAGATATTTAGACTCTTTTGCCATGAGTGTCAAAGAGTCTTCCACGATCGTTTGATTAATAATGAAGACAAAGAATACTTCCATGTTATTTTGACAGAAATGGCCAGTAAATATAAAGCTTTATTTACCCATTCCTTTGTTTTTCCTTGCAGAAAAGCAATTTGGTTCCTTTCTCTTTTTTTGATTTAGCTTTTCTTTGTTTGTACTACAAATGGTTTATAATCATTTTGGGGAGCGGGTAGCAATTTTATTTCTAGAAAAGAAAATTAAGCTGAGTAATTAACTTCAGCTGCTCAGGAGTACAATTTGTTCTCTTTGGTAGTTCACACATATAAAATATTACAGAAACAATCTTTTAGAATTCAGGAAACTAATAGTTTTAATTCAGTATAAAATTTTAAGTGGAGGAAGGAAAGTAGGAGAAATAACATTTTGTCTAAGAAACCACAATAATTACATAGTACATATTTATTAAATAAGTATCAAATATTTATTTAACAAAAGTTGTAAATATTTCTCAAATATTCTTAATCTTAAACCTTGGATATTATCCTTTTTTTTTTTTTTTTTTTTTTTTTTTTTTTTTTTTTTTTTTTTTTTTTTTCCGGAACCTGGGATTGAACTCAGGCCCTTGTGCTTGCCAGACAAGCGCTTATTCTACTGATCCATTTCCCTGGTCCTTTTTTAATTCTCTTTTTTTTTCCCCCCTTGGATATTATCGATCAAAGTAAAGGAGCATGATGCTAACAAGACTTCTACTTTTTAAAATCATTTATTTATTTATTTATTTATTTATTTATTTATTTATTTGCTTGGTACAGGGTCTTGCTACATAGCATGGCCAGCCTGGTGTACTGGGGCCGGCACAGCATATGGTACCCGGGATTGAACCTGGGTCTTTGCACTTGCCAAGCATGTGCTTAGACCACCAAGCTATCTCCCCAGCGCCAAGACTTTCACTTTTCATTTATACTAAACTGAGCTTCTCAGTAACAGCTGTGATTATGTATATCGTATCATTAAAATGCAGCGTTCAAGCCCATCATCCTACTGAACTGTTTTTGCTTTTTAACAGATAAACACTTTGGAATTGCAATTGGCCTGGAATATTTTTTAAAGAAACCCATCATCTTTGGAGACTTCATTAAGGCATGTATATATTACTGACTTAACACATTGGAGGGTTAGCAAGTGTTCGCTCTGTTCTGCAGCAGGTATTCTGTAAGAACTTCACATCTATGAAAATAAAACATCTAGACTGGGTATGTGCAGACTGCGGGCCCGTGGGTCGCATCCGCCACCAACCTGTTCTTGTAAACAAAGTTTTATCAGAACACAGACTCACGTATTCCTGTGCGTAGCATCAGTGTGACTGCTTTTGCAGGAGAACAGAGAGCACCACAAAACTACAGGGGCCTGTAAAACTGAAAACATTGCCATTTACTCAAGAAAAAAGCTTGTCCTGACCTAGTTACCTTTATCTTAGTAATAGTGTGAATCTGACAGCCATTAGAGAATTTGATTTGGAAAAAAGCACCAGGGCTTGTCTCTTAAGTCAGACCTAGAATCCCTCATTGTATTCTTTTTTAAAATCTTTTTTTAATCTTTTATTTGTTGATTGATTGGTAAAGAGTCTCACTATGCACGTAGTGATCCTCCTGTCTCAGCCTCCCCAGCGCTGGGATTACAGGCGTGTACACCACACCAGTTTTGGTAGCCGGCTTGGCATGCCTGGGGTTCTAGGGCTGGCACAGCATGCAGTGCCAGGGATTGAACCTGGGTCCTTGTGCTTGCCACGCAGGGACTTAGACTGCTGAGCTATCTCCCCAGCCCCCTCATTGTATTCTTGAAGGTGTTCAACTCCTGCTTACATCTTGATAATTCATCAACATAACTCGGTCACTTCAGAGTAACTCCAGTTAATAGCAAAGTTTCCATTATATTTAATTTCTTTTCTGTTTCCTTACAAGTGCCTCAGATCTGCCCCCGATAATGTCTATGTACAGAACTACCTAAAATAGATCTCCCGTCTAAGCACCACACCTGCGCTCGCAGACAGCCTCCCTGTGTTACCAGGTTGACTGTATACAGGGACCCGTGTTCCTGCCCCAGAGGGCAGGAGCCATGTCTTTTTTTCACCCAAAGCCCTTGGATTCTCCTGCAGACCTGGGAACCCAGCAGATGCCCAGCCAATACTGGTTCCACATGATGGGGCCACCTTCGTACGACATGTGTGCAGGACCTCACCACTCTGGCAGGCCCCTCCCGATGAGTACTGCCACCTGCCAGAGAAAAAGATAAATAGTTTGTATGTGTGAAATAGACCTGTCTAAATTTAGCATTAAAAATAAAATCCAGAAGGCCGGCCAGATAACTCAGCTGACTAAAGCGCCTGCTTAAGCAGGCACAGGGACCTAGGTTCGATCCCGGCCATGCAGTGCCAGCCCCATCCCCAAAGTGTGCTGAGACAGCAACTGAGACTTGGCATGGTGGGGCACACCTGTAATCCCTGTGCTTGGGAGGCTGAAACAGAAAGATCACTA